GAAGGCGGGTGGGGAGGCGGATATTGCTTGGAGGGAGAGTCCCCCTCCCTACAGGAAGCCGCGACCACGGGTCACGGGAGGGAAAATGGCCGCGGATTCTGTTTGTCATCTGATGCAGAGTTCGCAAACGGAGGCAAAATTTTGCGACTGGAGCTGTTCGTGAACCGAATTGTTCGTGAACAGAAGCGTTCGTGAACTGAGGTACCACTGTAACCTTCTAAATGCTTAGTACATGCCAATAGTTTTGCTCTCTTAAATATAAAGCACACCAAATTTCCTAGTAATAGACTGATGAGTTACAATCATCCATATATATACTGTATTTCACATACAAATTTCAGTAACCACTTTGCTGTGTGGTAACATTAAAAGATGCACTATGAAATGATTACCAGAAGAAATGTGTTCATGAGAGATACTGCTGAACTATTCATCTGTTATAACTGAAGTAATAACAGTTTCATTTAAAAATTCCAGTTCCATGATTTTGCTGAGAGGAAGGATTGGGATGCTTTTCATCCTACACTGGTGGCTGAAGGTCTCTTTGCTTTTGCTAATGTTCTCAGTTATCTTCGACTGTTCTTCATGTACACAACAAGCTCTGTCCTGGGTCCGCTTCAGGTACCTTCTTACGTGGCTTTCGTACATTGGTCACTATCATACCATTGTTGATTTAATGAAACTTACTGAAATCATTGCGTGTATACACAGTTGCCTCCATATCATTTGTTGAACTAGCTATGTAGGTTTATGCCTATATGGGTAAGGCGTGGTTGCTTCATTGGATCAAAATTGTAGAAACAAAATTAGAATTAAATTCCACATGGTTCAACTGGTAATGTTTATTTATTTATAAACTAATTCATTATTTATCATTAATTTATTATTCATTATTTATTATGTATTAGGAGGCACTGTTTTTTTCCTTGCCATAGCTGAACGTTCAAATATGTAAATAAATGTGAATATGTGCATAATAAATAGTATCTATGAAACATTGGAGGAGAGAGTTCTGTTGTCTGTACTTATTCCTTTATATCTTATCAGTTTTTAATCACAATTTCTCTTGCAAATTCCTTATTAATAATTTTTATAACCATTAAGAGTACAGGCTTGAATTCGCCTTGAAATGATTCAACATGTAACTTATTTATTTATGTGCTGAAGCTACAACATGCATTTTCATTAGTCCTCTGTAAGCAGACTCAGATTCCAATATACCCAAACAGGCAACAAACACCCCATTCAATGAGACACTGAAACTGAAATGACCACAGATATAGTAATAGTTTTACAGAAATAGAACTTAACCTTTAAATGCCTATAAATGGCATCCCTTCAAATGAAATGTGAGGCATATTAGTGCAATACATCCATTTCTATAGATATTGACAAAATAGTAAATTTTGCTTAATCATCAATCCTTATTTGACAAGCTACTAATATATTGGGTAAGTTTTTAGATTCATTGTAAATCATTTCATGGACATGTTAGTCTTAAAAAATACCACAGAAATATATTAATTAAATAAATTATTGCTATTAAATAGTTATAATTGAAATGGTTAATTATATGAAAAATAGTTATTAGGGGAAAAGAGTTGGAAGCACATTTTATTTGTATGCTAACATATATTATATACATACTTCTAAGTGTAATGAGTGATTAAATTGCAGTTAATTTTAACAAGGGCTAGGTCAAGATTATCAGTTTGTAAAACTCTATGAACAGTTTGAAATATGTGGTACTAAATTATTTGTGAAACATTAGAAATGTTTTACTCTTTTTGCTTCCAGGGTTTTGGGGCGGGGGGGAGGGAGGACTAAGGATTAAAGTTATAGATTTCAGAGTTTAAAAAGTTCTACTAGTCTTGCAATCCTATCCTAGATATATTTCCTCAAAGTGGAGAGGTGTAGGGCTATACATTTTAGCAGAGAGAAAGGTCAGTAAATAGGTAGATTTACTTTTAAGTAAACAATAATAGAAATGTAAATAGGTTTTTTAAAAAGGTAACTTCCTGTGATCTGGTTTCATATTGTCTTTAGTCATTCAATTTTAGAGAATATAATTGTTATAAATATTTTAATTAATAGTTGCTATTTTAAATTGATTATTTAAATTTAGGATACTATTCATTGATCGAAATGAAATGAAACGAAATGTCACGCTTAGTGAAATACATAGTTGTTTTAATCTTTTGTGAATAACATATGATATCATGGGAATATGGTTGTAACTTTCTGCCTGTCTACTTTTTTCTATTTTTTTTCAATATGCAGTTACATGGTGCTTCATAACATTTTAATTAATATCAAGGCATATGTATTTTACAGATTTCAATGGGGCAGATGTTGCAAGACTTTGGAAAATTTCTTGGTATGTTCCTTTTGGTGTTGTTCTCGTTCACGATTGGATTGACTCAACTGTATGATAAAGGATTTACTGTCAATGAAGAGAAGGACTGCGCTGGGATTTTTTGTGAGCAGCAAAGCAATGACACATTCCACTCGTAAGTTTCAGTGCTCTCTGGCCATGCTTATTGCTGGTGCTTTGCTTGCACCTCGGGTGAACATGCTAATTACTAGAAGCTTTCTAATTGTGCTCCCAGGTTGGTAACAAAATTGCCAATTCCCTTATCTTAAATTTTTTGTTGATTCCCTAGCATATTTAAACAGCATTTCTACAGCATGTAATGGTGAAACAGCATTTCACCAGCATGTAATTGGCTTTAAGAAAATATAATTTTACTACAGAGTCTTGTTTAAGCAAATAGTTTTGGCTTGTTAATTATATAATATATCCTACAGAGCAATCTGAGAAATGCTACATTTTGTATTTGATGTCAAGGTGCATTCAATAATGAGTTAACTCCTGTCATCATCTAGAAAGATGCAGTTGAAATTGCAGCAGCTTCTTTTCTCTCATGCTCACAACTGGAAAAATAGTTATAACAGATCTCCACCACCACCTCTTCTTCCTCCATTTATACTGTCCATAGCTCTTTTTTTATTAAAAAAGATCAAACAATTCTTGACACATTAGCCAGTCATCCTTGAAGCAAATATGTTTAGCTGTCTCTTAAATACTTCAGCATAAATGTCCATGCCACTTTACATGTGTTTATCCATAACACTGTTCCATTTTATTTCTGTATTAATCTCAGGACTTTAAAATTTTGCATGAATTTATATTAATATATTTGTATTTATTTCTGTACAGGTAGTCCACAGATTAAGAACACCCAGTTTACAAATGACCCATAGTTAAGAATGGAGCATATTGTAGCAAAATTTGAGTTAAATACACAATGGCTCGAGTTAATTACACAATACTACTTATACAGGTTTATACAATAATACTGTTCTGGCTTACATACAAATTCGACTCAAGGACAGATCTTGGGAACAGTCTTAAACTGGGGACTACCTGTATTTTAAAATTTATTTTTCACTAGTATATTTAAAAATGTTTAAATATATATTTGAGACAAAATTTGATGTATGTAAACCAATGCAGATTAAAATCCAGCTCACATATTAATCCAAGGAGTAGCAATGAAGTTATTTCAGATCCACATTTATAAAGTTCATTTTTATCCTACATCCTTAATAAAAACACATATTAGGGAGTACTTGCTGTTTTCACACTAAGTTTTACCCTACTATATACAGTAGCATGTGATTCCTCTCTCTCACTGGATCCTATATAATTTTAAAGCTAAAACATTCAAATGAATTAGAATAGAGTTATCATTATTTCTCATTTTAATCTGGATTTTAAAAACCATGAATAATACAACAAATTTACTTTCTTTACGTGTTTTCAAGGGTTATCTAATCAAAGCTTTTTTTTTCTATCCTTAGGTTTATTGGCACCTGCTTTGCCCTATTTTGGTATATATTCTCCCTTGCACATGTAGCTGTATTTGTCACCAGATTTAGTTACGGTGAAGAATTGCAGTCTTTTGTGGGTGCTGTTATTGTTGGCACATATAACGTAGTAGTTGTAATTGTTCTTACCAAGCTTTTAGTGGCGATGCTTCATAAAAGTTTTCAGCTAATAGCAGTAAGTACTTATAGGGCTTATTGTTTTTATTGCCTTTATAACACAATTTTAACCCTGAATAATAATGTGCTTCTGGATTAGGGTACTGTAGGAATTTGCCATTTTCAGTGAATACATTAGTAATGCCTGAAGAACACTGATAGGACTCATCTGTCTTCATTAATAATTTATGAGCGAAACCCTGACTGCAGTGGGGGGAGGACTCAGAAAAGTCAAGATGGTGATCATGACTGTGTGACGAACCCTCTTTTATGTTTAAGTGACACACATTAAAAAGGGACAGAACTTAGAGGTATCTGTGTTTAAATTAATTATGATTTAGCCAAATTTCTGACATATTTATATATTTTAAATAATTTAGAATCATGAGGATAAAGAATGGAAGTTTGCTCGTGCGAAGCTCTGGCTTAGCTATTTTGATGATAAATGCACACTACCTCCACCTTTCAACATCATTCCTTCTCCCAAAACAATCTGCTATATATTTAACAGTCTCAGTAAATGGATTTGTTCTCACACATCATCAGGCAAAGTTAAGCGGCAGAACAGTTTAAAGGTAAGGAATTATAAATATATGTAATTATCATATACATTTATTTTTGATTGTTCATTCATTACTTTGGAAGGTTTATATAGCCATCTAACTTATATAATCATAACTCTGGGCAGTGTACATCAAATAACCTCTCCCAAATAATACTGCAGATACAAATCATACAAAAACCAAAACCCATAAACAAATGCATTAAACAATATACCTATAGCCGGGTTCATCAATTGTACTTTCCACCTCCCAGAGGATGGGTTTGTATATTGCCTTGGCCCAACACCTAGGGAAAATCCAAATTTTTAAAGCTTTCCTGAAGGCTAGCAGGGTGAGATAATTCCAAAGGATAGGCAACCCAACACCGTAAATGGAAACGGCATACCTCTTAGATCCTATCAGATGACATTACCTCAGGGAGGAGACCTGGACCATGCCTATTCTGTAATTGTGGGACAGGCAGAAATAACTGGAGACAGGATGTCCCACAAATAACCTGGTCCTGTGCCATGTAGAGCTCTGCAGGTGATAATCAGCTCCCTGAATTGCACCCAGAAGCCTTTTGGGAGCCAGTGCAGTTTGTGAAGTAGTGGTGTTAGAAAAGGGTACCATTTTTTCATAGAAAACAAAGTATAGTTCTATATACTACATTAAAGTCTCTGAAATATTTTCATCTGTACTTAACCTATTTTATCCTACATGAGGATTGGCCAGCCTTTCAGTGGCTGAGTCTGCACTCATCGCTATGATTGCAGTCCTAAACTGCAGTTGTGTTTTTTTTGCTGACAACTTGAGTTCAGTTTGTAAAGCATACTGACCTGTACCTAAATAACTAAATAAAAATCTGAGGGATTGCCTATCTCCAGGTGTCTCTGCCCGTCCAGTACAGTTCAGCAGGGTGGGCATGCTCTGGGTCTTGTCAATAAAAGAATGTCATCTCAGGAACTTTGCCTACTCTGTTGCAGTTCCTTCCCTCTGGAATGATCTCCCAGAGATTCATGTGACTCCCACCCTTATAACACTGAGTACTTATTGAAGACCTCAGTGTTCGCCCAGGACTTTGGGACAGGGTGATGGTGAATCCCCTTTGTCCTTTTGCCTGTTTTGTTTAGTTTAGTTTTTATTTTGAATATTTTGCTCTTCTAGTTAGTTGTATCTTTTTATATATACATATTACTTCCTAGTTGTAAGCTGCTCAGAATAGTTTCAGAATTGGACAGCCATAAATAAATAAATAACCACATTTCATCTTTTAATTACACATTAATAAATGAAATTTAATAATAGTATACCTGATTGCCTACAATTTTGCAAGTTACCATAGAATAAAAACCCCTCAAAACAAAAAAAACTATTCAAATTCTACCTTATTACTTGCTTCGTTTCTGACCTCTGCTGTGGTAGTCAATTGCAAACAACAGTAAAATGTGAAAGAGTAGTCTCGAGTCCCTTGTCAAATAAAGGAAGGTCTATCAGTTATTTTGGTGCTCTGTCAGATGACATTTCTGTTCTAAAAGTCCTAAAGCTTCATTTTCTACTACAATGCTAGTCTTTATCTGTATCAACAACTGTATTATCAAAAACTAACTTGACCCACTGATTCTTTACAAAAATAGGAAATTATCAGGCTGCAAAGCAAAATGTCCCACATATTTATTTCCAAGGTTGCCTTTGAACTCCACATGCCACAGTGTGCCACATAAAATTTAAAGGAAAGTTGGGGTACGGAAGGTTTGAGGAAAAGACTACTGGGAAGCATTCTCACCCATTCTCATAAATGAGTGATTTATGACTGGCCATGCCCACCATATTAAGCATATTTGTAATGGAAAGCATTATTTCTTGGGCAAGAAATATACTACGTACTTTAGAAATTAAATTTTAATCTGTATATCAGATAAAATAATGTTGGAACCTTGTAATTTTTATAAAATAAAATAATTTTATTGGAAATGAATAATAGGATAATCAAATTTAAAACAGTATTTTTAATAGGAAATATGAGCTTGCTCAGTTTTGCATGATTACTGAAATTTGGACTCTGATTTTGAAATAGCAAATCTCAATTCTCATTCTACATTTATTTTGGATCAATGTTTGCTCTTTAAAGCAACAACTATCCTGACTTCGCTGCCGATTTGTCCAGGCAGAGGAGGAACAAGTACTGCCAGAAATCCAGCTTCAGGTTTACAAGGCATCAATCAGCCTTTCTCTCTGATTTGCTCAAACAAGCCCACAACCTGCTTCTCCACGGAGAGAGGAAAAGAGGTCTGACAATGATCCTGCTTTATGTGCACAAGCTCCCTGAAATGTGTGACACACCAGCCCTCAAATTTGCATGTGGCCCCATCTCAGAGATCACAGCCCAGTATTTGAAATTGGAAGATTTTTGGTATCAAGAAGTTAATTACTCCTTTTGTACTGCAATATAATATCGTCTTCTTTCCCACAAGTCTATTATGAACAATTTAAAAGCAGCATTTGACATCCTTTCTGCTTTTCCATTTCAAAACATTATTTAAGGATTTGAAGTCTAGATCCATAAATACAGTAAAATAGCTGTAAATTATAATATATAATAGTAATAGATGTTAAATCCAAATCTAAATTTTAAAAAATGCCACTTCTAGTCTTCCTATACCAAATACTAATTTAAAAATTGTTCAGGGACCTTTTAATCAAAACACCAACAGGAAACATGGAGGCTTCTTAGTTTAACAGTGGTTTGAATAAATATATCTAAGGTATTGATTCATTAACTATAGTATTTATTTGTGATCCTTTTGGTAAAGAAAACAATTGAAGAATCATTCTATATCTTAAAAGAGAGGTGCTTTTGTTTTTAGGGCCAGCATATTTTTAACATGCACTGGAAAACATCAATTCTGAGCCAGATTAATATCAGTTGTTACTCAAGATTTTAAAGTAATTTTCTTGTAATTAGTTTTTGATTATATATACTTGTTACTATAGATAAGTAGATGCACATTTGTACATAAATAATTGTTTAATTTTTATATGTATGCAGTTATCTCTGAAAAATCAAGACTACACATTACAATTTATATCTATGCAGCATATTATTACAGATTTAAGTATTATAGGGATATTGGAAATATATTTACTCATGTAGATGTCATAAAGACAGTGTGGTTTCGCTTTGTTATGAAAACTAAGTCAATTGTGGTTTATTCAAAAACATTTGTTGAACAACCATGGTAAAGCAAACTGTGTTCTGGATTAGTATGCATACTTGGGTCACAGTCTAGTAAGCATCCAAAAATAATTGTCAGGTTTCTTGAATCAACTCAAGTAATCCATATTAGAGCTGTTAAGTATAGTGGACCTACAAATTCAATATGGCCATATACACAAAAAGGCCATATGCTGTTGTAGCATAAAAATGCACGTGCATGCAAAGGCATAGCAGGGCAGTTTTGGAATGGGACTTCAGCACTGGATTGTTATGGCTGGTGGCAGACGCTCCTGGACAGACCTCTAGAGAGACCACATCTGCAGAAGATCCCATAGTTTGGGCAGGCCCTTTGTTCAAATGCCATGCAGGCAGGTGAAACAGACCAATAGAAGTTGCTGGAGTGGTACAGTTTCAGAATTTATCCTGGTTATTACTGTATGCATAATCTGTATACTGCCTGAAGTTCAATAAGTAGACATTTATTGCAAATAAATATAAATAAATAAATGGGGATAAAATGACTTCTGAGACACAATCTTTATAGCAGTCAGCTCAGACATTGCAAAACCAACCAAATTAGTCAAAAGTTGTCATTAATCCAAAGGAAATGGTTAAATGTTAAAGCATTTACAGTAGGAAGTTGCAGCTTAATTATTTGTTTGTTTGGCTTTATTGCAGCTGCTGACCAATCTTATAGGCTTTGCAGTTTATTCATGGAATTTGTGACATTTTGGAAAGGCTTTATTTGGTGGCTAGCCTGTAGTGATGATGGAGTTTGATTTTCTGTGAGATTTTGGATATCTAAAGAATTTCGATTAATATTCAGTTTTTAAAAATGATTTGCCACACCAATTTATCTAATATGTCATTATTTATTTAAAGGAGTGGAGAAATTTGAAGCAAAAGAGAGATGAAAATTACCAAAAGGTGATGTGTTGTTTAGTCCATCGTTACTTGACTTCCATGAGACAGAGAATGCAAAGTACTGATCAGGCGACAGTAGAAAATCTGAATGAACTCAGACAAGATTTATCAAAATTCCGAAATGAAATGAGAGACTTGCTTGGTTTTCGGACATCAAAATATGCCATATTTTATCAAAGAAACTAGTTCTCAAACTTTTCTAATGGTTCAACTCAGGCACCTACATTTGCAGGGTGTTGGGTGGGGTTCAAAAAAAGTAATTTTATTAATATATTTTTAAAATGCAGTATATAAACTGTTGCCAGATTCTGTTGTGAAACAATCACTGGTGATTTTGAATTAATTTGAAGCTTATGATGTATATGATATGTAAACTGTATAGAGTCTGCTAAATGGCAATATTTTATTGTATGGCAAATTTGATATTCTCATTATCATATAGACATCAGACCAATTTATCTCTTGCGCTTTTGAGAAGGGGATGATGTTTAATTTTTTTTTCTTTTCCAGGTATGAAATGAAGGCACAAATTATTTTGACATGTTTTTAACAATTGTACCTTTCTAAATTAGTATAGACACAAACCAGTTATTAGCATATGTTAAAGGCTATATTTCTGAAAAGACTATCAATTAAGTTCATATAATATAATTTTAAAAGGATTGTTTTGGAGTTGGGCTAATATTGAAAGGCCATATTGCCATCTCTGTGACATGTTTGGTCCTCAAAAGCTGATGAATGATACCAAAGAATTTAATACAATGGAACTAAATGTATGGTTTTACTTTTATTTAAAATGGTGGCTGAGTAAAATTTCGTTCAGATAATCTGAAGGTGCCATTTTTATCTATGTCTCTAGCACCTATTTATATCAAGTTGTTTCCAAGATGCAATACTTGAAATAATGGATTTCAACATTCTTAGTCCCATAGATAATTTAGCAGAATTAGCGCTAAGCATGGTGCTTCAGTTGATTGTATTAGTTACTATAAGAATTCATCTTCATCATGAAAATAATGTGGAAATATTTAAAATATTTTATTCTCCTAAAATATTTATAGTAAAATACTTTGCTAGTGTAACAGATCAAGTAATGTATTTTCACTGATTTCATTGAAAGCATGCCAGATGTAACCAGATTACCCTCTCCATGTTTGCAAGAAATATTTTTTGAAGACATCATTAGTTTTTTTAGTCTCATATTTATTTTTTAAACACGTTACTTTGGGGTTTCTTGATGTATATATCCATACCCAGTGTAATTATGTTTATTTATTTTGTAAATATATTAATTATTTCTGCAAGTTAAAGTTATAAGGTGCTGGCCACCTAAGTCATTGATAATAATGGAAATAAAGAGATAATGAAATTGAAATAAAATATTTCTCCTGAGGCTTTTTTAATACACACCCACACCCATACACCCACACCCGAATCTATTTTTGCACTACAGATTTATAAAAAGTGATGATTACAATGTTGATGATTCTTCTGAATTGTCTGTATATTTCCATTTGAATAATAACCAGAACTTATTATCTCTGAAAAAAATAGGTGGATTCTTGGATTAGAAATTGAAGATTTTTGCTTAAGATAATGACTATTTTGTAGTGTATATTTTATCTTGTCAGCTGAAACACTACAGACATAAACTGGCATTAAAAAAAAAGGTAATACTACTCTAACGTCTGTTCCAAGTTTGTACTCAGAAAAATAATTCCTTTTGCTGTTATGAGTATCATAAAAAGGTATACAGCTTGGAAATCTCACTGTAATTATAGAAAAACAGAAGCTGTTTTGTGATCCTATTTTTTTTTCTATTTTTTTTTTGTTTCATTTTCTTCCATTCAGTCAAACCATAAATAATGTGCTTTCATTATTTAGCAGTGTTAGAAAAATAATGGCAAGAAGTTTATTTAAAACTTTATTTCATAAATAATTTGAACATTCCTATTAAATGGTTTTCTTTTGGTACTTTGTAATACCTTTAAATGAGAACTTACTAATAATTTGTTTTGGACCTAATAATCTGAATATACCCTGTTTTCTACTCCAGAAAGTGTTTAACAACAAAACAAAACCTGACAAAAAAACTTTTCTTTGTCACTATCATTCTTCAAAAGCACAATACTAGAACAGGCCACTCAAAAAACCAATACAGAAAGAAGTCAAACAGAATATTTTGCAATGTGAGGCTCAGAATTTCTTTACATAGAAAGCAGAATCCAAGATGGTACAATACCATTTGATAGCTTTGGGTTAAGGAGCCAACTGATACACATGGACTGATTGTTTCAGATAATCTACTTCATCTTGTTTTCTAGAATAGTTGTCTGTCTTAATTCAAAGGTTTCAGCATTATCTATTTAATTTACATCTATTATATGAGCAAGAAATCCAAGAATAGCATTTTAAAAATAATAGCAAAATAGCAAAGTGTGATACGCTAAGATCTTGCTTTGTCCAACATAGTATGGTTCATGTTTAAGCATGCTGGAATTTGGGAGGTTCAGATTCAAAAGTAATGAGATTAGATTTATACATTTAAACTGTTATCTTTTTGAGCTCAAAATTTAACATGATAAAACTTACATCCAAAAATTATAGGGCCTCACTTTCCAAATCTCAATAAAATGATCAGTGGACCAAGCTGGCTCTTCTTGACAGATTTAGTCTTATATATTAGAAATTGTCAGAGTTAAGTATCCTGCAGAGCTGTACTGATCTGACTGGAGATTCTAATGAAGTTCAGAGTCCAAAGTATATTTTAATCAGAATCTTCAGTGACTGTTCATAATCCTCCATTTAGTTTAGGGCCATTCAACAGTCTTGAGCCATTCAAATCAGATTCAAAATATGGATTAAAATGTATAAAGATGAAAGTATCCTTCCCACTGTTTGGAAAATTACTGTTCATCAAGTGATCATAAAAAACAATGTTGTTTCTGTGCATCATAATTGTGGGCCTTTTTGTACTGGTCTTAAGATTTTTAATGCTGTTACCATTCCCAGAATATTTCCTAGTTGTAATGCAGTGGGTCCAAACATTATTTTCCTCCCTTATTGTATATTGATTGCAGGCTCTGAATCAAAATCCTACAGCAGGAAATATTAGTTCTAAGCCTGAAAAGCATGTAGTTAGTTTTTAAAAATGTGTTAATAAAAGTGTTTTCATCATTGATAATACAATGAAACTGGAAACCTAAATTTAAAATGAATTATTATAAATTTTGCACTTGTATCTTCAATAATCCAGTATAAATTAAGAGTTTCAGTGTAGTAGAAATTTGTTGTTTCGAGTTGCCAAAAGTTTTGAAATATAGCATGCATATCAAATACATTTTTCTTTTGATTACTTGCAACACAGATCAATGAGGATTACATCGCTATAAAAATCCAGAAAGTATACCAACTTGAAAAGTGCAATTTTTGTCTGTACGAAGAAAAATCCAAAAATAAATGATTAAGAGATGGCTTCAAAAATTCATACTTCAGCACCTTTTGTTTTTTAAGACATTCAGGATTTTTTGGTTCTTAGTCTTGAAACTCATAGTAAAACTGCTGGGCAGGATTTTTCCTCTGCCATCTTCTTCTACCTGGCCCATGATTACATAGTTTAGACCTATTGAAAAAGAGAAAAATGGTAAATTCTGCTTTATAGCTCAGCCATGAATTCTTCTGAGGCAATCAAGGTACTTTAGACAACTCATAAGTTATTCAACCTATGCAATCATATACACATGCAAATATTGGTCAAATGCAAATATTGCTCAAATGTTACATGTTCTGTTGACTATTAAAAACTATTGTTTGTCTATTTCTTCAGTTAAAATGTATTTTGTCACATTTTCCACTAGTCATTGCCTAGTTAGTTTCTGTTGTGATCTCTCTCTTAACAACATTTGATAGCTGTTTAATTTATATTCATGGTCTATAACATTCACATAGCATTTCTGCGGTTTTATGCCACTAGTCAAATAACTCTAGTTAGGTGTAGTGCTTATTTAGAAAATGTTATTCTAAAAGCAGGCTTCTTGTTGGCAATATCTTGCTAGTAAATTCAACCATGGTGAATGAGCAAGCATAATTCTCATTTACTATGCCTTAATGAGCTTAAATATTTCATTCCTCCCAAATGTAGTGTCTCTCTTCCGCTGTCAGGATATTGGTCTAGCTACAGTATATTGCAGAAGCTTTCCAAAGGGAACTTTGGGCTGAGAGGACCATAGTAAATAAATTGTTTTTTTCCCTAACCTGATAAAAAAATATGCTGAAGGGAATTGGCTGGTTGCTCCAAGAGATAACCAGAAGAAAAACACTTTAATCACTGCTGTAAAGATTACATTGAATAGCAGTTAATTTTTCTAGATTGTATTTACTTTCATGAAAGATTTCTGCAGAACAGAATGAGACTTGATAGGTTTTGGAATCTTTGCATATATAGAGCACCTCAAATAACTCATTCTGAATAGGCAGCATCAAAGCGACAGGCAAAAAGGACATAGGCTATGTGATTGTCCTATATATAAAATTATATTTTTGTCTTGTCTAATTAAATATTATTTAACTTTTTAAATGATCAGATAATCACTTCAGATTGAGATTTGTCCACAATTTTCATTATGCCCAACTAATACATCTTGCATAAACTTTCCTTTTTTCCCCCTCTTATAGGTGGATAGCTCTCTTAGTATTCACTTGCTCAACAGTAAAACCTGAATCTGTAATCATTTTTAATCCTCCTGCTTAAAATGATCTGTATGTTTTTGTAATCATGGATAAGATGATAAGCATATTCCACCAAAAATTCCACCAGATGTGCAAATTTCTTTGCACATCTATTTTGAGTTCCTAGGTAAACAGATGTGTAGGGACAGAGCTAGCAGGCAGGCCACGCTTTAGCTATTTTTGTAAGCAGGTAAACACCTATGTAGTAGTTATATCCACATGTGTATTTAGTTATAAATGTAAAACCTAGTGATGAGGTTAGGATCTGCTCTGTATAGCTAAAGATACTAGGTTACATCTAGATTTAAGTGCCTGCAACAGGAATGCTGAAAGCAGATTTCATTGCCCCATTCTCCCTGGCAAGCCATCCAGTAACCCACACCCTTAAAATTATACACAAAGAATAAAGAGACCCTGTTGAGTGGGGTGGACTGTTACATA